GCAGCCGCTGTAGCAACGGCAGGCGCGAGGTGGAAAAAAAAGCTAGCGCCCGACCCTCCCTTCCGGCATCTCCCATGCCTGCTGCCTTTGGCCCTCCCGCCGCCGCCCCCCCACCCCCCCGCGCCCGTTCCCGCGCGCTCTTCCCCCCCATATTCCCCCCTCCCCTTCTCGCGGTCGGATGCGAGCAGAATCTCTGCGAGGCCCCCATCCGCCCCCCCCTCGCAATCCCCCCCGCCCCCCGCCCCAAGCAACTCCTGCCCTGGCCCCCCCGCGAATCCATCATCTCCCCGCCCCCACCGACTCGCCCTCCGCCCCCTCCTCTGCGCGCCCCCCTCGCCCCCGTGCCCCCCCCCCCCCCCCCCCGCTTGGCAACGCATCTGTCATCGCCATTATCATCGCCCGCGCCCATCCCCCCCCCCTCGCCCGCGACGCGCGTTCAAAGGGTCTCGCGATTGGGGGCCGCGCAAAAACGCTCTGGCGCGCGGGGCGCGAGAAGTGCCGGGCGCACCGAGTGCGCCAGATACACCAACTGCGCGAAATGCGCCAGGTGCTGCCTCGGCCGCGCCAGGTTCGCCAAATGCGCCCGGATCGCCACTTGCCGCGGGAATGGCAGGCGCGCCGCGCGCGCAGGTGTGCGAGGCGCTGAACGGCCCAGCTACGCGCGAAGCAAAGGCCCCGCAAATAACCGGCCAAGCAATGACCATCACACTCTCGCGGCCCCGAAAACTACCGCGAGCCACCCATCCAGACCTCGCCAAACCATCGCCTGGCAACGCGTCGACGCGCGCCGTCAATCGCAAGAAGCGGTCGACCACGACCGACCGTTGAGAACGACGGCCAGCAAAACGCTGCAACAATTCACCACGAACAAAGTGCGCACCCAGACGGGACGCACGTCATACCACGCGAACGTCCCCTCTGCATATCGCTGCATCCACGGGCGACATCAGCGCCGAACCAGGTTGAACCACTAAAACAACTGGCATAACCCGCTCGGGACTTGGACCCGTTCGCCCACGACTTGGGCCCGCTCGCGCGCGCCGCCGCGCGGGTTGCTCTCAGAGAGCTCCCGCCGAAGACTCCGCAGGCTTTGCGGGCGGAAGAACTGGCGGCGCTGGCCAAGAGCTCCAGGAAGGTCTCGCCCGGAGGCAATGGAAGCCGAGGCCCCTGAGACGGCCGCTGCGCTGTGGGCGCGGCGCGCGGGGCCGGCCGCGACCCTGCGGCGCGGGGCGGGCGGGCGCCACGAGACGGTGCTGGGCCGGCGCGGGTTCGACCAAGGGGGCCCCTCGTCTCCAGCTGGGTTCGCGGTCGGTCAGCGGGGGGCCCTGGGGCAGCTTCGTCACGGACTGCTGCAGCTAGACACTGGAGCTCGGCCCTTCTCGTCTCGTGACGACGCTCACCTGGTGACGGCCCACCTGGGAGCTCGCGCCCTGGACGCGCCGGCGAGAGCGCCCGCGCCGCTGGAGGTCGAGCTGAACGCCCGCAAGGTTCGGGCGCGGTCTCCGCACGGGACCCAGGCAATCCAGAGAGAGCCCGCGGCCCACTACGTGCCCGAGCTGCCTGCAGTGGGCGCCCACCTCCGCTCGCTGAGGGGATCCGCAGACATACGCCGGGGGCGCGCTCCACCTCGGCCGAAGCAATTGCGGCCTTGGCGGGGCCCGGGAACGCCCGGGGCAGCTCTGGGGCTGGCTGCGCCAGCTGCAGCGCGGGGCCTCTCCCGGCAGGCCGCCGCCGCGCTCCTGCGCACCTGCGCGGGCAACGCCGGCCAGCGCAACCTGCAGCTGGCGCTGGCGGCTGACGACGAGACGCTCCGCCTCGACATCGAGCTGCGCGCTTGTCGGGAGAACCTGGCTGCGCGGCCGCTCGGGCCGAGATTCGCGACCAGCTGGGCTTGCCGGCGAAGCTGGGTGGCGCGGGGCCCAGTGGGCGGCCGCGCGCAGGGCGGCCGCGCACTGGGCAGCCTGGACGCAGGCGGCAGGCGAGGTGCAGCGCAGCCTCGGCGCGCTTGGGAATGCCCCCGCAGACGCGCGCGAAGCTCGAAGAGGTGCGCGCAGAGCTGGCGCGCCAGGGCGCCGAGCCCTCTCTGGAGGCCCCGCAGACTGCCGCACTCCGTGAGGAAACCCGACAGAAGATGGTCGTTGTGATTATCAACAAGACAACTCACGCTGCAGCCAAGCAGCGAGTGTATCTTCGCATAAAGGCAGACTAGCTGTCAGCGGGCGGCCCTAGGGCAGGCAACTTATTGCAATACCACACGGAGCCCCATCTGCGCCTTGAAAACGTGGACTGGAGCACCTCTCTCCGCCGCAGCTTGCAGCTGCCGTGGCCGGAGTGCTCGCTCGCGGATCTGGCGCGGCCCTCTGCTGCCTGCTGCCACAAGACGGCAACCGGCGCCACCTGCGCGGCCCCGCTGGACGAAGACGGCTACCACGCCTGCACTTGCAAGTCTGGCGGGGCATCGTGAGGCTCCACGGCGACTTGGAAAAGACGCTGGGGAGCGCCACTCCTCTACGAACAACGAATCCCGACCCGGGATAAGCACCGCGCGCGGCGCCCCGCAGCGGGGCCCGGCCCGCCAGTCATGGAACGCGCCATACCAGACCTCTGGCACGCGGAGGTTGACGGCCCCTGGTGGGTGGACGTGGCGGTCCGCCACCCAGCGGCACGCGACGCGACGGCGCTGCGGGCCGCAGCGCGAGGGCTGGGAAAAGGTACGCGCAGGGCCGAGCGCGTGAAGCACGAGAGATATCCACGGGGTCGCTTAACTACGCTCGCCCTCCGCATGGGCGCTGAGGCGCGGCAATGGCTGCTGGAGCAGGTGCGCCGGCAGGCTGCGCTGAGCCGCGAAGGCTGCCAGGCCTGGGCTGGGGGCGGCGCCGAGCTAGAGCGCGGGGCCAGAAACGGCGCGCTGGAGGCCGACCAAAACGGCCCGAGTCTCCAAGAGGTCCTCCAAAAGCAGAAGGGGCTAAAATCAATGATTGCCTGCAAGTTTTAAAGGACGCTGGCATCGGTTTCAAAACTGCCTTCCGACGGCCCAAGACGACCTAAGAGGCCCCCAATATTGCCTCAATATCGCCCAAGAGGCCCCCAAGATGGACCCAGGACGGCCCAAGAGGCTCCCAAGACGGCCCCCGAAGGGCCCGAAGACAGCCGAAGAGGCCTCCGAGATGCCCACGATGGCCTTGAAGAGGATAGTGAAGCGCCCCAAGAGGGCGCCAAGGCCCAGAGAGGCTCCCAAGACGGTTTCCGACGGCGCCAGGCGGGCCAAGAACGCCGCCTGACAGCCAACGAGGAGCCCAAGAAGCCCCCAAGAGGCCTAAGAAGGCCCCCAAGAGGCGTCCAAGAGGCCCCCTGAAAGCTCCCAGAGGGCCCCAAGAATGACCCAAAAAGCTCTCAAGAGATCTCCTCCCCAGTGTTCCCCAGGGGGGTTCCACAACGGCCAGGGGAAGACATAGTCAAATACCTTGACCTGACTTCTGCCTAACGTTGGTCCGCAGGCGTTTCCAAAAGGCAGGGGGTGGCGGGGGCATCTTCGATCCGCTGCCCCTTGGTGATTCATCACAGCGGGGCCTGGCATGCTGAACTTCTGAAAGGTTCTGGTTCTTTTCCCAAGAACTCCTAGTGGACTTCGACCCAGCCCGCCAGCCGTGCGGAAAACATGGGGTCCATCGTTGTTTCCACCAAGACGGCCCCAAGATGCAATCCAAGACGGCCAAGATGGCCTCCAAGACAGCCAATATGTCCCCAAGATGGCTTAAGGTGGCCTTCGAGACAGCCCGAGAGGGTACAAGATGCCTCGAAGTCCGCCCAAGAAGCTACCAAGACTGCCCAAGATGGCCCAAGCCGGCCCAAGACGCCCCCAAGAGGCGTCCAAGACGGCACAAGAGGCCTCCAAGAGGTCCTCCAGGAAGACCCGAAGAGGCCCAAATCCGTGGTTTTCCGCAGGTGTTTGAAGGATGGTGGCATTTGTTTAGTTTCGGCCTTACGACGACCCAAGACGGCCCCAGAAGCCACCAAGATGGTCCTAAGGGCGCCCAGGAGGCCTCCGAGCTGGCCCCATGACGGCCTCAGGCCCCCAAAACGGTCCCTAGAGGGTCCCAAGACGGCCCAAAAGGCCTCTAAGACGCCCAAGATGGCATCCAAGACGGCCCTGAAGCACACCAAGAGGGCCCAAAGTCGGCTCAGAGAGGCTCCCAAGACGGCTTCCGACAGCGTCAGACGGGCCAGGAACGCCTTCAGGCAGCAACAGAGCCTGCCAAGAAGCCTACAAAGGCCCCCGAGAGTCCCAAGGAAGCCGCCTCCAAGAGGCTCCCAGGAAGATCCCAGGAGGCCGAAAGAGTGCCCCAATAACTCCCAAGGGGCCCCTCCTCCTCCTCCGCCTCCGCAGTTCTTCCTCCCTCTCCCTCTTCCTCTTCTTCTTCCTCCCCCAAGTGTTCCCCGAAGTGTTTCCACAGCGGCTAGGGGGACACACAGTCCGATAGCGTGGCCGAGCTCTGGCCACGACGTTCGGCCGCATGAGCGCTTCCAGAAGGCAAGCGGCGGCGGTGACTCGCCGTACGCGTCCTCGATAAACAGCACACAACAAAACACACAACGTAAACAACTAACACACACACCCGTCGGTCGGATGAAGTGTGCAGAAACATGAAGTATGAAAGCGTTGAAAGCAGATTGGGCATCCGCCCGCCCCCTGAAAAGGATGCAAGAAGGACAACCGTTCGACTCTTGAAGTAGGAAGGCGCCTGAAGTACAGTCATCGTGCTACCATAGGAATACATAATAAGGGACGCAGCGACAGGCCCAGGCTACAAAGAGGTTCCCTGGCATAAATCGAAGGAGCGGCCCGGAAATCCGAGCCCCTCCTGAGCCCAAAACGGTCCTCATTCCAGCGTCTCGACTGTATATCGGGACCTGGATGTCCAGAAATACCTGCCTGCAACGACCAGTGCGTACACAATCCGGCGGCCAGCACGCAGCCCGCGGCGCCACCCTCGGGGCGCCTTGCCCTGGGTGAAGGCGGCGTCCTTGAAGAAGAGATCCCCGATCGCCCGGGAGACGGCCAGGGAGGCAAACTGCCGCACGCGGGGGCGTGGGGGGGCGCGGCGCACGGTCCCAGAGATCCGACGCTCCTAACAAATTTGAGCTGGCGGTTTGGGGCTGTTTTCGGCCTCCAAGGGCCCTCGCCAGGCCTCAGGACCGCCAAAAAAAGACTCAGGGCGAAACTCCGGCCCTCGAGAAGTGGTCCAGACCTCGGGGACCCACGCATCGGAAAAATTAGAGCAGCCAGATGTCTGGGCGGAGGGGGTCTTGCTAGAAGTGCCCCTGGCCCAGGTTGCCCCCGGGATTTCCACGGAGGCCCCCACGGCCTCCGGAGCACCCCTCACGAGGCCCAAAAGTTCCCTGCAGGGGCTCCAGAATCGAGCAGAAAGCTGGGAGCACCGTCGGCCAGGGGCACGGGGGGCAGGGCAGCGGTCGGCACAAGGGGAGGAGAGAGGACGAGGGGAGGAAGGGGAGTCGAATGGCTGGTCGCGTCTGCGGCTGCAGTTGCGCTCGGGGAGACGTCCCAAGCGGCAAAATCCGGAGCACAGCGAAGCCCTACGCGCGGCCACGCTGGTCCCGGGCAGGCTGTGCTGCCCGGCGGAGGGGGGTCGAATGCAGCACGGAAGAGCGCAGAGGATCGTGAGGGAAGGAAGGAGACAGCACCAGGGGAGGAGGGGGGAGGGAGAGCGGCAGGTGCATGCGCTGGGGGAGCGCCAGGTGGGCCAGAGGCAAAAAAGCAGCCCGCCCCAGAGGGAAGCGGGGGAGACCTCGTTCTCGCTCTGCAAAAGCATCCCTGGGGCCAGCTGAGCAGGACGGCGCTTGGCAGGGAGGGAGGCTCCACAGAAGGCCGCAGTGGCGATGTCCGCATAGCGGCGCCGCCCCATTTCGGCACGCCCCTCACACCCTTCGTGACCTTGTAGGGAGCCATCATAGGCCCGAGGGCCCGTGGCAGAATCCCCGTGGCGCGGCCGACGCTGCGTGGCCACACGGGGAGCTCTATCCAGGGTCCATGCGGCTGGGCCCCCCCCCCCGCAGCAGCCGGGCCCCGGCGCAGGCACCGCGGCGACGGGCGCCCCACAGCGGCGCCCCCGCTCGAGCACGACGCGGGCGGAGCACGAGGATGACCGCTCCAGGACCAAGAGCACAGCCAGGCCCGCCGCCCCCGCGCCCACCGCAAGCGGGCTCCTGGCAACCCTCGCTGCTAACGCCCGCCCCTGGCAGCCCCCGCTCCCAGCTGGCAAACCGGCGGCCAGGAAGGCGCCACCGCCGTTGCCCCCGCACGACCTCCCGCAGGGAACCGAAGTCTATACACCGTCGCTTTTTCTGGCCCTGCACTGAAATTTGCACAGGACAGCGGATCCTGGTGTATACAGGATACTGGTGTATACATGTTTCGTTGTTTCCCATGGAACGGAAACCAAAAGTTTACACCACATTAACCCGACGTCGCTCCCGACCCTCAACAAGTCCTGGGATTGAAAACAACCAGCCACCACGCGGTGGACGCCATGGAGACGCCGCCTGGCGTCGACGATGGCTACGCTGCCCTCAAGGCCGAGGAGGAGGAGGAGGAGGAGGAGGAGGAGGAGGAGGAGGAGGAGGGGGAAAAGGCAGTCCACCTGGAGGCTCCGTTCGACGAACCGTCATGCCTTCAGCTCGTCAGCTCGTCAGGCAGTCGACTGAGACGGCGACGACGAACAGCCCTCCGGGAGCATCGTTTCCGCCCGCAGTGGGGACGGACGGAAACTGTAGGCACGACGCCCAGCAGCATTGAGTTGCTGTCCGTCGACACACTCTGACAACAGTTCTTGCCACTTCGGCAGCAAATCTGGCCTGTTGGAAAAAAACAACGAGGGCATTTTAACGAACAAGAATTGCTGTCGAAATGACAGATCGATGGGCCCCGAACAACAGCAAATATTGCTATCGAAATGACAGATCGATGGGCCCCAAACGATAGCAACTCTTGTTCCACATGAACAGGCAATGGTGTTGGGTATCGTACCCATGTATTCCGTCACCATTCCGGCCGTGCAAACTCAATACGGGGTCTTCGAAGGTCCTGTTCCCCATGGCAGGCTCTTCATCCCGAATCGTCTCATGACGGTCCCGGGGTCCGGCCAGGGCCCCCAGAGGCCGAAAATCGCGAAAAACGTCCGCACTGACATTCTCAAGACGTTGGAGGTCTGGGCTGACTGACCCCCACTACCCGCGCTCAGCCCAAATCCGCTCAAAGCAATCTTCTCCAGGGCGCATTCTGACCCGTGCTTCGACGCGGATCCGGCTGTAGAGACGAGAAGCCTCCATGAGGCCCGAAAAAAATCCCCAAAAACAGGCAGGGCCGCCAGATCGAATGTAGAGGCATCCCACCCGAACAGTCAGAGACGGGATGAGCACACCATCCACAAAAAAATTGACCTCATCACCTCTGGCTGGCCTGCGGCCCAAGACGCCGACAATGGCTCCAAGACGCCCCGAAACGCTTTTTGAGACGCCCCGAGGGCCTCCCCACGACGCCTCGACCGTGGACTCCGCGCCTCTCCTGGGGGTCGGCGGAATGGCGCAAGCCTCTTGAGCCTATGTGGCCCCCTCCGGCCCGCGGGCCGCAGCCCCTGAGGCCCAGACCGAGCCGGGGACGGGGCCGCTGCTGCCTCGACGCCGCCCCTCCTCCGAGCCCTCCTGCCCGAGGACCGCGCCCCGGCGGCGCGCGCCCGCCTTGGGGTTCAGCCTCGGGTGCCCGACGCGCCCCTTCCAGACCCGGCCGCCGAGCGCCTCGCGCGCGCGCGGCTGCGCCGCGCGCCCTCCACGCGCGCGCGCGAGGCGCGGCGCGCGCCGTGCACCGCGCGCCGCTTCCGGGCTGAGTCCAGGCTCGCGGGTTCCTTGACATCCGAGGCCCCGAGCCGTTGGAGCTGCCAGCTGTGGGTTATGTTCTGCCTCGTGGGGCCCTCGCGGGCCCCAGGAAAGTCAAAGAACGACTCAAGATGGAAAACCGGCCACAAAAAGACTACTATCGCAGCAGCTCTATTGAATCGGGCGGGCTCTCAAAACAATGCTAAGATTCAAGGTGCTTCCGCACAGGAGGCCATGCAGCGTAATCAACTCTTAGACCTTGCTGGCATGATGCCCTTGGAGAAGCAGTTGCAGGTCTTGCAGCTGATGATTGCCGAGTTCACTACGCCTCTGAGTATTGAGCGTGAGGTGCTGGCATGCGCTTTCATTTTCAACTTTCACCCCCAGGGCGTCTTGGCCAGGATTGCCCCCCTGGTTGAGTTTGCTCTTGAGGCGGCAAGCGGGGATAGGGTTTCGAGTGCACCGCCCAACGGGCAACTCTTTAAATGATGGTGTGGATGCCTTGAGGCCCTCTTCCACCGAGGCAGGCGGTGCAACGAGGGCCGACGAAGGGTGCGTGCTCTCGGTGGAGCTGAACGGGGCTACACATACACACAAAGACACAAACGCACACACACACACACATACACACACACACACAAACACACGCACACGCACACGCACACGCACACGCACACACGCACACACACACACACTTTTTGGCGGTAGCTGCCTCGCGCGCGGCGTCGAAGCGGAGTAGGTAGAACCACTGAGCGCGCGGTCGCGGCCAGGCCGTCAATAAACGCTTAGGATTCGAAGCACCTTCCAGCATCAGCCACCCGGGCGTGGATGGCAGGGAAGGGGCACGCCAACAGACGGCCACACACATACACACATACGTGTTTAAGTCAGCGGCGCAAGCGGCCCTCAAGCGCGAGCAACAAATGGAGGTGCAAATTGCGATCGATCGCGCATACTCGCAAGCTCAGTGAAAGAAACGTCAACTACTGACGTGCGAACGTACAGCGGCCAGAAACCGAGGAGCACACCAAGACGAGCGCGACTCAACGTGAACTGAAGCGAGTGCAACCTGGTGCTATTTGCAGCGATCGATGTTAGACACACACACACACAGACACACACACACACACACACACACACACGAACACACGCACACACACACACACACACACACACACAAACACACACACACACACTTTTTGATCCGCGGGTCGAGAGCGCACCTCTTCCGGTCGAAGCTTAGCGGGCCGCGCAAAACTTGCATTAACGAGAGGGGGGCAAAAGGAGGGGCCTCACAACAAGGCCAGGAGGGGGCAAAGCCCTGGAATCAGGCGGTGCCGAGGACGATGTGCTTGCGAAGGAACGCTTTGGACAGGAACCCGGCGGCGAAGTACACACGAACACACGCACACACAATTTTAAAATCAGCGGCGCAGAGTCCCCAAGCGCGGGCAGCAAGTGGAAGTGATAACTGCGATCTGGCACTGTCGAAAGCACTGTGTACGAGACGTCGCCGCATGCAGTGTGCAAACACTGGGCGGTGCGCACGAGGGACTGCAACCCCAAACGTACAAAGACAGCGGCCAGAAAAAGAGGACACCCAACCCAAAGCGAAGTGATGCGCAAGCTGACTGGTGCGAATTGGCGGCCACTGGATCACCGACTCGACGGTGTTAGGCAGCGCGACGCAAAGTATCACCTGCCTGACCAGCAGACTGGCGAGGTAAAGCGCCGGACTCAAAAGAGGTCCTGCGAAGCCGATTGGTGGGGTGCTGACCTGTGGACCAACAACGCGGAGGACAGGACACACCTTGAAGAAAGAAGAGGCGTATGAAATGGTGGTGTCGACACGCGCAACACACGCAGAAACATGCACATGCGGAGCCGAAACCAAACGAACGAAGCCATGACGTAAAATCCTTGGTGGGTAACCACGCCACCAAGAGAGACCAGTGCCAGCGGCGCGCCCGAAAAAAGGCTGCAATAGGCCAACCGAGTTGATTGGTAGGGCACTGCTGCAACAGTATTAGTGCCGACCGTAAATCGACCAGCACTGTTAATAGCGCGAAATACACTGTCCGCGCCGACGTCTAGGTCGCAATCAAATCGACCAAGCACGCCCCGTAGAGGAGGAAAACAAGATAAAGAGCAGGTGCAAGGGGAGGAGGACAAACAAACGGCACAGAAATATAAACGGCGCGCAGAGACGCGCGGACGCGACATGCCAAAAAAGACACGACTGAGCACATCACCCCCCCGCAGCGAAGACGACCTGGAAGGAGGAGGAGAGGGGGGGAGAGAGCAAATAGAATCAGACGCAGGAGGGGGGCCCGGAGAGACAACGGTTGGGGGGCCCACGACGCGACCGAGCTCGCAGCCGACGACGGCGGTGACCGACCGAACCCCGCGACCCACGAGGAGGAGGGGGCCGAAGAACCACCGTGGATGGGGGCGCCGCCGCGGGCGGCTGAAACGCCGCGCCACCACCGACCGAAAACAGGACGCCAAAGGGCCCGAGGTCAAGAATGGCCGAAACAAGATTGGGTGAGGACGAAAATAAAGAACTCAAACATGGGCGCCGCCTCCGGCAGCCGAGACCCGGCAACTTGCAACAGGTGCGCCGCTATAAAAGCGCACAACTCCGAGTCGCAAAGCTCGGATAGCGCCGCTGGGAGGTCAACGGCAAATTCGCCGGCGGCAGCTCCGCGCGGACCGCTGTCTCAGCTGCCCCGAGGGCGGCGGGGGCCGCGCCACCTCCGACAGAAAACAAAGCGCTAAAGGACCTGCAGCCGGAATGGCGGAGACAAGGGCGAGCGGAACACCGCCGGGGCACAGCGGGGAGGGGCGGCGCCCCATGAGGCGACAGATCGGCGCGCGAGCAGCGCGACTGACTTGTGCGCGACAGGCAAAAACGGCAACAGATCAAGCGGCGCCGGGTGCATGAACAGCCGAAGCAGGCGACGGCATCGCAATGCCCCGCTCACGCTCGGCGAGGAAACCGCTCAGGGAGCTCGCGCCACGCCGCCACGGTGCTCCGCGCCCTCTTGCCGTGGCCCCCAAGCCGTATGACACGGGGCGCGAGCAGCTTCTCGGAAGCGCCCCCTAGGCCAGCCGGGCGCCCAGCCGAATCGGAGTCGTCGACCGACGCGCGCGGGCCTGTCGGGCCGGCCGAGACTGGCGGGGCGCGCGCGCCAGCTGGTTGCCGATCGCGCACTGGCAGGGAGTGCAAGAATTTACTCGCGACATGTCTAGGGGCCATTCTGGGCAAGCTCGACCCTTCCCCTGGGCCCTACATCCCCAGGTGAAGCGACCCCGGCGCGCGCGCGAGCCCACGGGGGGTCGGCCCGCGCCTCCTCAACCATCCACCAGAGGTCAACTTCTGCCCCCAGACGGTGCCTCCGCGGCGGGCGCGCGGGTCATGGTTGGCGAGGGGTCGGCGGGGGGCACGCGCCCGTCGCGCGCCGCTGCCTCCGCCGCCCGCGGCGACGGCTGCCAGTCCGCGGTCCGCGACGCAGACCGCGAGACAGCCGGCGCGCGAGGCCTCTGCCCCATGGGCCTCTGTTCGCACGGCAGCGTCGACCCCGGCCGCGCAGCCCGAGCGCGACGGGCGGCCGTGCGCGCCCGGCCCCGCCGGGGGCAGGCCACTGCCCGCAGCGGGGGTAGAAGACACCCGCGAACCATCCCAGGCAGGCAGCCAGGCGGGCGAGGCCCGGCAGCGCGGCCCGTCGAGCTGGGGGGTCTTGCGCCCGCCCCCCGAGCTCGCGCCAGCAGCTGGCGGACAGGTGCCCAACTCTGCCGCCCGGCACGGCGCCCCCGCGACTTCGCCGGCAGGCGTCTCGCGAGAAGGGCCCCCAAAAGAAAACGCATCGCCTGCCCGGTGGTCGGCCGCGCCCTCGCGGCCCGCCCGCCGGGGCCGACTGCAAGGGCGGCGCGCGGGTTTCCCCCAGGCACTGCGCGAGCCCTCGCCCGCGCCGGCTTGATCTGGCGCCGGGGGCCGGAGAGGCGCGAAACAACGCTGCGCGACTAGGCGGCGCCGGGCGAGCTCCTCTCGTTCGTCGCGATCCCGACTATTTCCTCTTTATCGGCGCGCCCGTCCCTTCACTCTCGTCGTCGGCGACGCGCGCGCCCCCCTCCGCTCTCGCGCAGATCGTCGGAGGCGCGCTTTCATCGGAAGGGTCTACTTCGGGATCCACGATTTCCTTCGATAATTGCAACTCTGCCTCGGCGCGGCGCCCGCCGCCGCCCCCGCGCCAACGTCGTCGCTGACCATCGACCGGAGGCGGGGTGGCTTGAACGATTGGAGGGGGCGTAGTCTGCCGCTGTCTTCAGATTGGCGGCGGCGAGGCCTGGGCCCGCGGCTGCGTGGCCAGCGTCCATCGGAGAAGGTGCAGAAGGAGGCGCTGGGTCCAGGGCCTGCACAGCGGGCTCCCCAAGGCCTCCCAGCGCCCCGATAGGTTGGGATCTTCGATAAAACGGGATTCATAATGGCACTGGGATTGGCGCGGAATTCTACGCGGTCGCCACCGCCCCCCGCCCCCCCCCCGTGGAGTTGATAAAAACCGTGTGTGTGTGTGCATGTGTGTGTGCGTGCACATATGTGTTTTCATGGTGTCAGATAGTACGATCTCATGAAATCGCGGTCGGGTTCAGACATCCCACCGACTTAGTAATGGATGGACAACGATCCGTGCATCGAAGTCATCGATCTGGCAACGGCGATGACGGCGGGGCGACGATGGCGATATGAAACGGAGCGGTCGTCGTGCATGCGAACGTGTCATCTGAGATGATGATTATTTGAGCGCGTGCTCCATGCTTGCGCAGGCGCATTGCGCTCGGCGGCAATTGAGCTTCGACGGCGCGGGGGGTTGTTCCCATCTTGATGCGAAGCTTTGGTTTGACATCTACGCTGCAAGCAAGTA